TTGCTAATGGAAATCAGCAGACCTAACGGTGCAGTGGGGTGGGGGGGGGGGCAGTAAGAGTTACAAATAGCCCCTAATTTTGAAGTGCTTCTAGTAGGGTAGAGCTCAACAATACATACACATGAATACGTGGCGAAAGCATTTCCAGGCAACAAGGAGCAGGTACGTTCTCAAGTGGATATAAGCGGAAGATGTACACGAGGGATTCAAAAAGTTTGTGGGCACATGGAGTGGCAAGATCATGGTGAAGGGAAAGGCAATGTACAAGGAGAGGGAGGTTGGCAAGAGTTGGCCAGGGGAAGACCCCGGAAGGAATGCAAGAGTTCAAAGGCAGCCGGGGAAACTAGATGATGTTATATGCACACTCCTGCACTAGAATGGTCTGCAAGTAGAGAGGGCGTGGGAAGAAGAGCGGAGTATGTACTTCTGTCTGCCAGGATGTTTGTACATGAGTATTCACCTGTGCTGCCATTCTATCCATCAGGATGGTGGAGGCCACATGGGCAGAGCTATGAGAACTTCTTAGACATAACCAAACACCTAGAGGAAATGGGTCGCTGGGGGCTCAGGGTCACCCAAGGCCAGCTAGCATAGCATCATCCACAAGGGCTTAAACCAGGAAAGATGTGCGTCAGAGTTGTATCCTCTCACCATACTTATTCAGTCCGTGTGCTGAGCGAGTAACCCAAGAAACCAGGAAGAAGCAGCAGCGTCAAGATTAGGGGGAAGCTCTTGAGCCACCTGCCGTATGCAGGTAGCACAAGCTTGCTTGCCGGTAGCAAAGAGACTTGAAGGGCTTACTGATGAGGAGCAAAGTGTGGGATTACACCTCAAGGTAAGGAAACCAAAGCCCACTAGAGCCATGCCCAAATGGAAAGTGCTGGGCCGTTGTTGATCGCACCCTGCTCGGCTTCATAGTCAAGGCGCACAGACGTCGTCGTCTAGAAGGTTAAGCCCTGTTGATGGCACCGAGTCAAGGGCTGCACAAGCCCTTGAACGTGTCTCTTTGAAGATCCCAACCACGATATTTTCAACGGCCCCGAATGCACGTGCGAGCTGGACAATGGGTAAGGGGGGCCAGAGAAGAAGCGGGGCACTGGTGCTGTGGGGTTGGTGACGAGTGGGTGAGGGGCGACGGGGCGATGTCAGATATGAAAATAATCTATAACTTATCAAGGGTTCATGAGAGGGTGCGCAGGAGAGGGAGGGGGAAGAAATGGGGAAGAGAATGCTTTGAAAATGATGACGGCGGCATATGTGCAAATGTGCTTGACACAATGGATGACTGGATTGTGATAAGAGATGTGAGATTTAATGGGGGGAAAAAGTGCCCATCCGAAGCACAAACAAATCTGGGAAGAAGTAGAGCCAGCACGCCCGTAGAAGCAAGGGTAAGGAGGCTTCATCTCACCCCAGGCATGTTCTCGGGAGGGACCAGTCCCTGGGATAGGACCTGATGCTCAGTGAAGCAGAGGGTCAGCAAGAAAGGAAGATCCTTGACGAGACGGACCGACACCATGACTGCGACATGGGCTCCAACATCACTGTCATGCACACGACCCAGGGCTGGGCGGTGCTCCACGTGGGCTCCAACATCACTGTGGTGCACACGACCCAGGGCTGGGCGGTGCTTGACGTGGGCTCCAACATCACTGTCATGCACACGACCCAAGGCTGGGCGGTGCTCGTGGGCTCCAACATCACTGTCGTGCACACGACCCAGGGCTGGGCGGTGCTCGACGTGGGCTCCAACATCACTGTGGTGCACACGACCCAGGGCTGGGCGGTGCTCGACATGGGCTCCAGCATTACTGTGGTGCACACGACACAGGGCTGGGCGGTGCTCGACGTGGGCTCCAACATCACTGTCGTGCGCACGACACAGGGCTGGGCGCTGCTCTGGTCTCGTGTGCAGGGTTACGACGAGTCAGGACAGGCTCAATGACATTCACAATAGCAAGGAAACAGCGCCGAAGTGGACACTTCCTGCTAAGCTTACAATTCCTTTATCCAGTTTGCCTCTTGATGTACTCGTCAGGAGTTGCATCTTCCTCATTGAGTGGAGCCGAGTGGACCAGAATGAGGTCGCCTTATCCCTGTCTTGCAAGAGTGGACTTAGCAGCCAGGCCAACCTCCATGGAATCGAAGGTTCCATTTCACCCTGGCAGTGCCTCCTGACCATTCCCTTCTCACTGGCAGACGTGAGGTTCCACTTCCCCACTTCCAGGAGGGCAGGGGCACCTACCTACCTGTCCGTTTCATTTTCAGCTACCCATTTATTCTGTGGGACTCTTCTGTTCTTTACACATATTTCCTTTGCGAAAGTAAACCATCATGCCTGTGGTTGGGAACCAAAGGGCTCTTACCGGATCCCAGGTTTTCTAGTTCCCAGACTAGCGAGTTATCTTGGGAGCTAGTGAAATCCAGCCAAAGGATGAGTAGAAAAGGCCTTTGAGAAACGCTTCTCTGAGTTCAAGGGAAGGTGAAGTGCCATTTAAAATACCTGAAAGGGAAACTGTTGAAATAGGAGATACAAGGAACTTGGGAAACTAGAGCAATTGAATGTAGGATGTGTGATTGGGAGAAAAAAAAATGTACAAGTTCCCTCAGCCTTGTCCTCTCCAAGTGATTAAGGTTCTGCAGATACAGGATAAAGAGATTTTCAGAACTTAAGCAGATAAGCCATCTGAACAATCCTATTAATTATATGAAAGAATGTGGGTTGACTGCAGATGCTTAGCGTATTTGTCACCAACAGAGTTCAACTCTTGAAGGTCTAGAGCAGTGGTTCTCAACCTTTCTCATGCCACAACTCTTTACCACAGTACCTCATGTTGTGGTGACCCCCAACCATACAATTATGTTCATTGCTACTTCATCACTGTAATTTTGCTACTGTTATGCATCCGGCGACCCCTGTGAAAGGGTCATTCAACCCCCAAAGGGGTCTTGACCCACCAGTTGAGAACCGCTGGCCTAAAATAAAGATAAGCCGTAGGGGTGGGGGGGATAGGGCCTGGGAGGACGTTGTGTCCATTTTTTAGTTTGAGAAAGGAAGTATCAAGCTCTCTTTAATCCACATTTAAAGAAGTGGTTTCATAGAGAAAGGAAGTATCAAGTTCTCTTTAATCTGCATTTAAAGAAGTGGTTTTATATCTCAATGGCTTATTTGATGTTGCTCAGATTAATGCCAACTGGAAATGTAACTAAATAAAGACTCCTCATCATTTTTAACACTTTGGAGGAAAATAGAGGTAGGGAATATCTGATCCGTGTCCCCAAGTGGCACAATCAGTTCACTGGGCAGCTACTAACCAAAAGGTTGGTGGTTTGAGGCTACCCAAAGGTGCCTTCAAAGAAAAGCCTGCTGATATTTTGCCAAAGAGTCCACTCAAACCCAAACCAATGAGTCCATGCCACCTCATAGCTGGTGCAGTGGTTAAAAATGGAGGTGCTAACTGCAAGATCAGCAGTTCTAAACCACACTCGTTGCTCCATAGGAGAAAGACCGGGCCTTCTATTCCCATGAAGAGTTAGTCTCAGAAACCGACAGGGGCAGTTCCACCCTGTCCTACTGGGTGACAGCCATGCAAATCCTGTGGGGCACAGTTCCCTGCCACACATGGGTTCACCTTTACCTCGAGAGAGAGGCCCCGCATGGCAGCCGGCCAATGGGGCTGGCCTCCAGCAGTCAAGACACCAGGAAGCACACAGGATTTCCCAAGACCAAGCATCAAACCCAGAGTCCGCTTTGTTCTGGGAAAAATTGAATTCTATTGAAAACACATTTATTCACACTTAACACTGTGTTGTGCAAAATTGTGCCTTTTATCCTACTCTGCATAATAAAATAACCTTGGTGTGTGGCTCTCCTAGAAGTTTATCCTGACGGAAACCATCTTTTCATTGCTTATTTATTGAAAGCTATCGAAAAATATATCATTTAACTCTATTTCCTAGACTTCCGGTTTAAACTTTTTCTTATTTCAGAAACTCGTGAGCACTCTAGATTTGTTAAAATCAAATTCAACCCACAAATCCCCACAGGCCAGGTAGCATGCAGTATTCCCCCCCCCCTCCTTCCGTGCCACCCCCCCGCCCCTGTCTGTTTCTTGGGGCGCTGTGGTGGTTGGCATTTTGTTTTCATGCTGAAAGTGAGCCCACCAGCATTTTAAATATCAGATTTCCATGGTGCCTCCCGGTTAGGAAGGAAGGACTAACTCTCAGAAATTAGCCAATGAAGACCTTGTGGATCACAGCAAAATACCATCCAATGCAGAGCTGGGGGGTGAGCCGCCCTGCAAAGCAGGACACTACACAGTGGGCGGAGCGTGCCAACACCGTGATGCCGCCGCCGAGGGCTGGGAGCCTGGTCTTCTGATATGATTCTGATTCCACAACA